TGTTACACCACTGAAATGGGTGCATCAATGACCCCCAAAGTCCTGCAAGGAGCAGAGAAAGCGAGAAGCGGATCTTTTCTCTTTCCAGACGCTGGAGGGGCTGGGCAGCCGAGCAGTGCTGGGAGAGGGCTCTCTTCTTCCCCCCCTGTCCCCCCCAGCAATCCAGGACACCGGCCGGTTGGGCTTGCAAGTGACAAAAAGAAAAGTCCCAGCGCCCAGGGCAGGATGGCAGAAAGTTGGTGGCTTGGCTACCAGGGGGCCTCTGAATTAGCAACCATTGAAATGTACAAGCAGCTGCTGCCCAAGGATTGTCTCCTGTCTCTGCTACATTTCTAGGAGGCTGAGAAGCAGCCTCCCCCCCTCTAGCTTGTTAGCCACACACCTCGCCAACCACAGCCTGAGCTGCTGGGCTCATTAACATACTTTCCTCCCAAAGTCTGGTGTGATAGGCTGGCCTGGAAGTCTCTCTCCAGCGTATGGCTTTTAGGCAAGGTTTGCTTTTCTGCAGATGTGCTTGCCCTGGCTAACACAAGGTAACTTTACATGGATCAGTTGAAAACCCCAGTCATCTAAGGAAGTGGGCTGTGTTTTGTTAGTCTATAAAGTGCTACCAGACCATTTGTTGTTTTTTAAGTTTATATGGAAAGCCTGCGAGTCAACTCATAGGTCTTTCATAGGTGGGAGAGTCCTCAAAGCGTCCTCTAAGCGTTAGTGAGTAAAGATGCATTGTTCTACATCGGAACAGGTCTGCTTTTTAGGGTTTGCACACCCTAGAAAGTAGAATATCCTCCCTCATTCCCTTGGAAGGCCACAAAGGACAATACTGCTTCGCGTTTATAGCAGGCTTTATATTGTCACAGCTGTGTGCTCACGGGACACTGGTTAGATCTCACTCCACCCGTTATGTAGAAATGGGGAAATCAAGGCATGGGCTGTAATGGAAGTTACTTGTCTAGGGCCTTGCTCCTCAAGGCAGCAATAATGTTTGGATCAGAATTCAGGACTTGGGGTGAATCCGTTGGTCCACACTCTGTCAGTGCGGTGGAAAGCTCTCCTATAACATATATTCTCTCCCCCGAATCCCAGAAATCGGTGTCACTCACAGAGATGTGTTTCGCATCCGTTGCCAGGGCTTCTCCAAGATTTGAATCCCATCGTACCCACAGGCCACTTAGCCCTTGTCTCCGCTAGGGCGTTATTTTGAAATAACGCCCCTTATTTTGAAATTGTACGCGGAGTGTCCACACGCCCAAGCCTGTTATTTCGAAATAACGGGCTGGGTCTTTCAAAATCAGCACTCCTGCTTTCCTTGGGGAACAATAAATAGTTATTTCAAAATGGCGGCTGTGTGGACACTCCAGTGCCGCTATTTCGAAAAAACGACTCCCCAGAGTCATTCGAACTAATTACTCCCCAGTGCTTCCCAGGGCTCTCCGTTGAGGTAGCACATCCGCATTAATGGAGCCTGCCTCGGACTATTTTCAAGGCTCCCCCGTAGCAGGAACATGCTATTTTGATCTGGTTATTTGAGGAGTTATTGTTTCAAATTCAGTTATTTTGAAATACTTCCCTAGACATGCCCTGAATGTGCTGCAAGTGGAGGAAGAAAAAGTTTGAAAGGCCCATGAACTGTGAACCCCGCACTTCAAGGACTAACCCAACTGGTGGTGGATAGGAAAAGTCTCATTACGCCACAGTCAATCACTGTGGGATTTCTTGTCCTTTCCACCGAATCAATTGGTACCAACTATGACTTCAGGCAGGATCATGGGTTAGGTAGACAACAGGTCTGATCCAGTCTGCGCGTTCCTGTGTCTCTCTCTAGTTCCTTATGGTTTTATGGTCTGGCTTTACAATATTGGAGGATGAATATATTAAAAAAAAAAAACCTCACAAAACCTCCTGCCCATCTCCATGTATAAATGAGTTGGCTTTGGTGGCGTTTCCATTCATTAGTGTTTGCTTTGTGGCTATTCCAGCAAACATGCATCCCAGCTGCAGGGGTCCTGGAAATGTGTAGCTTGAAGAGAGTATCGGAAAATACCATAGAAAACAACTTTGACATATTGGTCAATGTGAATATCTTCCGCCACAGACACCTGATTCTAACAGCGGGAAAAAGAAACACTGCCGTGGATAGCAATTTTCAATAACAAATCTATCTGAGGTCATTGTAAATGGCTCCTGGATAATTTGTGAACAGAAAATTAGGCAGAAGTCATTATATAAATTAGTCTTTCTGCCCAGGCAGGATCTATCCCCTGAGGCTTTAGGCCTTGTCTACACACAAACTTGCAACAGTTTAGTTTAGCTCAGGTTAGCTCAGCCAGTGCAAACCCATGGTGTGCACACTGCAAGGTCAATTTAAGAGGGATTTATTGAGACTGAGCTTAAACCTATTTGTAACTGACAAACTAAAGTGAAATAATCCCAATTTAAGATGAAATAAGAGTGAAATAAGCCGTTTGCACTCGTTTAACAACATTCTACAAGTTAAATTGGTTCTGCCCTGTGTCTAGGCCATCCTGAGACCTGCCAAATATATTTAACACAGGCTACCAAAAAGGAGGTATTCATACCTCTTGCTTGCTAACCAGTCTAAGTTGTTGCTCTTCCCTCATACACGTTTCTCCTTGTGTCCCACACCTCGCTGGTCCCAGCTTTATCCCACGAGGGCAGTGCCCACTGTTACAGGCTTAATTAGCCACAGGCCCCACGCCAGCAGGCCCAGAGCCTGTGCGGTGAACTTCCTAAATACGGCAAGGTCTTTCAGAACAGCCCTGTTCAACTGCACAGTCTGTGTTACCCAAAGGCCTCTGCTCCTGCTCAATATTCTCTGTTACCCAGAAATCCCTGGGTTTGCTGCCTGCAGCCACCTCTATTGTTTGTATTCTCGGTGGCTTTTCTGGGCAGTTCCTCCGTATTGTCCTGCCGTGCCTTGAGCAACCTAGACACTACAGCACAGTGTGGGTGGGATGCAATTCCCCCCTTCCCACAATTCCTAGCTCTCCTCTCTTCCCCCACCCCTCACAAACATCCCTTTTATCGACAAAGGGGGAAAGTAGCGTTTTTCAGTGTTTCCCTGGGAGCGTGATGGGCACCACGCCAGCCTATTGCTCGCTTGACTGGGCCCTCGGCCCTGCCGAGATGCTGGGCCAGGTGCGCTACAGAGTCCCAGACGAGCTGGCTGCCGTCCAAACCGAGCCGAGTGGCTCTTGTGCGGCCGTCAGAGCTGTCGGCGACACATGTTTACAAGATCCAAGTTCTGAACGCGCAGGTCAGTCCGACCCGCCGGCCGGAGGGCCAGGAAGCGGCAGAAGAATGGAGCTATATTGAGAGCAGATGGACAATAGCCCCCGGAAGCGTGGTGGGGCCGGTTTGACATGGCTAAATCTGGTCTGAACGGTGACGTGTGTGTGGTCGTAGCTCATTAGCCCCTCTGTAGCAGTTTTCCGCCATAGACCAGAGCCTTTTACAGAGATGGGCAAACAAGGGCAACCGAGGCAGCAGGGTTTTCAGAACCCCCCCCGGATTCTCCATTTTTGGATGCCCTGAGGCCTGATTCTCATGAACCACATTGGCTCAGTGGGGCTTTGTCCCCTGGCTACGGGCTGCCCCATAGAAAGAAGCTGGAGGCCGCTCCTTTCTGGAGCTGATGCTAGCGCCAGCTGTGGAGGCATGTGGCTTTTAGAGGAAGGTCTCCCAGCATGAAAGCGTAGCTGGGGGTGGTTATGTTGACCAGTGCAGTGCAGTTACCAGCTGGGGTCTCGCCTGTCTGGTCTCTGCTCCGGAGCCCTTCCGTCAATTCCCTTCACTCCTACGCGCCAGCACCCTCGATCCCACTTGTCAGTGTGTGGGTCGCAAGACTGTCTCAGCCCCCAGACAACTGAGTCTAGGAGCTGTGCAAACCGACCGTTCCCCAAACTTGACTCACCTGAACTTTGGGGGGCCGTTTGGAGTTCCAGCCTTGACCAAACACGGCCGCATTTCCTCTGGCTTGGTGGCTTGAATGGACATCGATTGATGGGTTGAGACCACACCCCCAACATGGCGGTAGCTGTGCTAGGCTGAATCCACACAAACAACGAGGAGTCGACCTTAGAGATGAAGAGATAAAGTGGCGACGGATCACCGGGGTTAGCCCTGGACAGGCCGCCGCTGCTACATTTACCTGTGTTGCTGCAGGTACTGGCAATGGTGGCTCCCATTGGCTGGGAATGGCAATCTGCAGCCAATGGGAGCTGCGGGAAAGAGCACGGACTGGGACACCACTTCCTACAGCTCCCATTGGCCGGGATCAGTGATCTGCAGCCAACGGGAGCTGCGATCGCTGGTACCTGTGGAAACGCACGTGAATACAGCAGCGGGGGCCCACCAAGGGCTAACCCTGGCGGACTGGATCCGGCCCACCAGCCTGTGCCCACCCCTGGCATAAGCTTTTGTGGGCAAAAACCCACTTTGTCAGACCCCACATGGGGAGCAGGGAGCTGACCCCAAGGGACAGGCCTGGTACGCTAGGAAAGCTTCTGGCAACCTGGGGCTTTCACAATTCCCGATCAAATGCAGTGGGGTGAGAAAGACGTCCCGGCTTGACTCGGGATCCTGCCTGGCTCATTGGAAATGTGTGCTCCGGAGCCCTCCTGGGACCGTTGAGAGCAAAGCCAAATAAAGCTGCAGACGGGACCAGCCCGAGCTGCGTAGTGGGGATGGGAGCTGCCCCCTCACAATCCCAGCATCCTCGCCTGGGATGTGCCTGGCATGCCCAGTTCAGGTGCTTTGGAGAACAGCCCAGAACTCCCTCAGTCGGCAACCCCTCCCCTTGTACTTCCCAAACGCCTGATGCCCTCAGAGACGCTGTTGCTGCCGCGTGGGCCTTCCGTGTGTTAGGAGAGAGGGGGCTGTCTACTCTTGGGGGCGTCCAAAAGAGACTTTTGTGTCTGAATAGTTATCAGAGAAGCTAACCTTTTCTGTGCCGGGTTTCCCGGCGCACTTGGCGGAGAGCAACGGCACCATCTGGTGGTGGATACAATTCATGAGCGTGGGTTCAGCATTTCCTCGTCTTGCCTTCTCCCGCGTCCATTGTCTACAGCTATATATATTGTAGACGTAGACTTAGAGTCTGTCTGTCTGTCCATTTGCCCAAGAACTCCTCCTAAACGGTAAGAGCGAGGGCCACCAAATGTGGTATGCGGGTTCCTCTTCTCCTAACATAAAGGAAGGTCAGAGGTTGGCTGTGCCAGGATAACGGGAAGCCCCTGGGAACAGGACTGTTTCCCGTGACATGCAAAGAGAGGGGCTGCTGTTTGGAAGGACGAGGTACTGAGAGCGGCCACTGGAGGCAGTGAACCCACAGGTGGGAGCCATCTTGCAGAGTGTCCACTGGCCAGCAGGGTTGGAGTTCTGCCATCTTCCCTGCCAGCACACTGGGTAAGTAGCCACCTTTCCCGAAACCCTTTCCTCCATCCTGGCCCTTGTGTATAGCGCCAGAGGGGGGAAGAGAACAGGCCCTGGGTGGGCAGTTGCGGGGGGGAGAGAGGGGAGGAGAATGGGCTGGTGGGGGGAAGGAGAGAACAGGCCCTGAGTGGGCCAGGGGAGGGGAAGAAGCCATGACCCTGGCCTCCAGCCTCCTGAACCCCGGCACACATCCCCAAGGCCATGCCCTGAAGGAGCCGGGCAACACCGGGTAAGTCTGCTAGTGTTGTATACAATAGCCTGGGATAGGGATGTAAGCGACTAGTCAACTATCCGATAAGCATAAGCTCATGGGATAGTCAAGTAGTGACTCGATTAGTCGCTCCCCTGACTTGCTGCTTCTAACAGTCTCTGCGGGGAGCAGGGGAGGCAGAGGCGGAGCAGGGAACCCGGCATGAGCCGGGACAGCTGGTTCCTGGCTCGCACCTAATCCCCCCTGCCGGCTCTTAACTCTTAATCCATTTAAAAGGCAGAGCTGCAGCGGGGTAGTTCTTGGGGCCAGGAGCTAACCCTGCTGTGGCTCCACAGTTTCCCCCACTTACCGACTACTCGACTAGTCAATGGAAATTCCACTGAGTAGTCGATTTGTTGATTAAATGCAATTTAACATCCCTAGCTTGGATGATTCGTCTCAGCTCCGTTTCAGATTGTGGGCCCTCAAGCCTTTTATCTCATGGGTTTGTTGCCTGCCTTCTGCCTTCCATGGCAAAAGCTGCCCTCTTTTGTTTTCTGGTTCTATAGGGACACCCCATAAAGAACGTGGCACTTTTTGGGGTGACTATCGAGACCCACATGTTGTCCTTGCAACTTTCAGTTACACTGAAGCAGACACACCCAGAGCCTTACATAATGTGTGGACAGCCCCACACTTGGATGCGCCACCACTATCGGGCCTGGGGTGTGCATGGCATGGAGGGAAGCCCAGCTACCCTGCGGCCCGGCCCCTCTTCTGCCTGCAGGCTCGTAGTCTGGCCAGCACCTTCCCATGCCTGCTTGTCCCCAGGATGTGGGGGTAGTGAGACTCCCCTATTGGACATCTGTGCCCCTGCAGGAAAGAGTCCACAGTCTAGGCCAGTGATTCCCAAACTTTTTCCATGGAGGAACCCCTCAAATAATTTTTCATATCCTGAGGAACCCCTACCTATGAAAACATTTGCTTGGCCAGAAAAAGTTGACAGTGGGGAGTGCAATTCCATTACTGCTAAATTATTGTAAAGAAAATGTATTTGTAAAGAGCTGTTATATATAAGCTTTAATTGTAAGAAAAAAAATTGGAGCATTTTTCCTGTCTTTTTTTGTATCATCTAATCTTTTTTCTTCAAATATCAAAATATCAAGTCAAAATAAAGTTCACATCCAAAGTCAATATAAAGTTTACTTTCAGTGTGACTCTTGGGCTTGTTTCTTTTTGCACAAATGTTGAATTCTTGGCCGAATTTTTGACAAACACACTTGCAGTTCTTCCTCGACAGAGAGCAGACCATTTCTTTCTTTGCTTTTAATGTTTGTAAGACATGAGAAAGCTTGTTCACAGAGGTAAGAAGTTGAAAACTGGAGTAAGATGTTCACTGCTTTTGCTGAGATCACAGGATACTCCCTTCTTATTGAAATCCAAAACACATCAAGTGGCACTTCATTGAATTTTATCTTCAAAGTTCGATCGCACTGTAGTTCAGTCAGTTGTTCTTCTGTTTGCAGAGTAAATTTTGTGAGAACTCAACAAAATTCAACAAAACCCAGTCATGCATTTCTGATGACAAAGAAGGAAAATATTGGTCAAGCTTTTGTGTCAGTGATTCCAAATGACTGGTAATTAATGGGATGACTGCTTTATAATCTGTCTGACTCTGAAACTGAAGTAGGAGTGGAAATATTTCAATATTTCCACTTGAAAGTGTCTTTTCCAAACCTTGAGCTTATTCTTGAATGCAAGAAGTTTGTCTGTGGAATTTAGAATGTTTTCTTCTGGGCCCTGCATAGTGGTGTTCAAGGTGTTTAAGTGCTGATAAATATCTGCTAAGTAGGCTAGTTTCAGCAGCCATTTTGTAATTTCAAGAAAGTCAGAAGAACTGGCTTTATTATCTCTGAAGAAAAGCAGTAGTTCCTCTTGCAGCTCAGATACCCTTGTTAAAACTTTCCCTCTTGAAAGCCATCTAACATGGGTGTGTAGAAGGAGAGTCACATGGTCTTTTTGCATATTTTCACACAGCTTTGCAAACATGTGTGACTTAAAAGGGTGCTGCTTTATAAAATTGACCATGTTCACAGCTACATCAAGGACTTGTTTTAAATCCTCCCCAATAGTTCTTAAAACAAAACTTCCCCATGGAGGAAGCAGTGGGTCGTTATGACATCAGGGATTTTTTCTTTGACGAGTATAACTTGGCTGCGGCCATAGCTGTGTGTGTTAGTTTTTTCCCGCAAACAATGCACAATGGAACGGGGCAATTTTCGTCCCTAGTCCATGTAAAATCCATGGCCAAGTAACTGTCATTGTAAAGGCGAATTTTTTTAATATCAGTCACTTCTTTTCCTGTTTTACTCGTACGTGGCTCTGATCATTTTAATTCATTTCCATTGTCCTCTCCTTCACTGACGCGCCTTCTTTTCATATACTTCCACATTTTTTTTATTTTCAACGGTCGTATGAAAATACTGTTACGTAGGTGAGATTTTAGATACACGTAAACAACCACTGTTTCGGTAAAAACATGAATTACAACACTGCGCAAAGACTACAAATCTACAAAATAGCGAACGACCGTAACGTGCACTAGAAAAGACTAAAAACGCGGAGAATTCTGGGAAGCAGAAGAGCAGGTACAATACAACTAAATTTAACCTTAGATACGAACTGACCAAAACAAAACAAAGAGGCAGTTGGTAGCGTATGAAGATTACTCCAGTATTGCCAATTGCCGAACAAAAATTCCTGCGATATTTCGAGGAATATTTGGAATTGTTTGCGGTATTTCAAATTTTTTATTTATTTATTTATTCCACGATGTCTCGCGGAACCTGTGACGATGGTCGGCGGAACCCCGGGGTTCCACGGAACCCTGGTTGGGAAACACTGCTCTATAGTGTAGACATACCCTTCGAGGGCAGCATGTGGGTGTAGGGGTCAGGCGCTTCAAGTCTGTAATACAAGGAGACAGCGGGGCCCAAACATAGAGGCTAGTTATCTCCAGAGCCACTGGAAAACCGGGTCCAAAACATTCGCTTTCGTGAGTCGCAGCTCCCTTCAGATGTACGTGGTGGGGTGCGGCTCACGCAAGCTGGGGCCATTAATAAAACGGTTCATTTGTCAGGTGCCACCGGGCTCCTGGCTGTTGAACCTGGCTACCTCTGAAACCCCGTCCAAGTGAAGAGCAGGCGAGGGAGGGTTACTCTTCGGTCTGGTGCTGCTCCCTTGTGGACACTGGTAGTACGGCACCCCAAGTTTGTGCAGGGATGCTTTTGAGTAGGGCTGCAATGAATGCAGCTGGAAGCAATCCTGGCCTATGGCAGATGTGGGGTGGGTCTTGATCTGTCCCGTGGTCGGGGGGTTTAGGCTCCGTGGCCCGTCAATCTTTTCCCTCTGCTGAGTCTGCTGCTAGCTAGTGACTGCCCTGAGGCAGGCCTGCCACTGGCACCTGGAACCCTGGGCCCTTTAAATCGTGGCCGGAGTGCCACACGGAGTGCTCTGGATGGCTTGTAGGGCAGCCTGAGGTGGTGGGAGTTTGCACTGGGAGGCTGTGAGGCTGGGAAGGGGTGGGGCTAAGGGCTACCTGCCCTAGCCCCGCCCTTTCTTCTGCAGGCCCCGCCCTTTCCAGGGACATGGAGCTGTCCCCCTCCACACCTGGCCTAGGGGCCCACAGAGGCGGGGCCGGATTTATACACGAGCTAAATAAATCTCAGTTTAGGGCCTCCGATTATAAGGGGCCTCTAAATTAAAAAAAAAAAATGACTAGGTTTTAATTGCATCTCTGCCTATTTACGGGTAAATATGGAAACATAAAACTTTATGATTTCTATTTCCATTGTGCGTTCTGGTAGAATAGTGCACCTTTTTGTGGTAATGCTGGGGGGCCGCTTAAACGGGGCATAGCTGAGGGCCTCTGCATGTCTGAATCCAGCCCCGGTGTCAGCAGACTTCTGCAGAAACGGCCCCCTGGCCCCCCACCAAAACCAGGACAAAGCTTGCGCCGCCAGCTCATTGTACTCAGCCTTCCCCCCCAGCCTGTTTATAAATACTCTTCTAGAATGAGGCCATGCTACCAATATGGTGCCACAGACTTGCCCAGCCCCCATCTGAGCAGGGTTGTGGAGGGCTGCTCCCCCCAGATTGTCAATCCCCATCCCCTCTGCTGTATCTGATGGGGGCAGGGGGAGCGGTGAGCACGGGGATTTAAAGGCGCAGTGACTCTTCCTTTTTTGCCTTTTTTTTTTTTGCTCAACAGCTTTGGTCCCCCCCCCCCTTTTTTTTTGCTCAACCAATTTTTTCCCCGCCATGTTCACCATTTTTTTTTAAGTATCTGGGTACCCTGCTGGTCGGCTGGACCTTTGTCTGCCCTGTAGTGCCAGTAAATTGCGCCCGGAGCTACCAGCGATAGGGCAGCAGCGCTTCTGTTCCACAGTGGGATGCGGTCCCTGAATCCACACAGTCTAAAACAGGACCAGGGAAACTTTTTTGGGCCGGAGGCTGCTGACCCACAGAAAAATTAGTCGGGGGCCGCCCACAAGCGAGAAGCAAAAAAGAGAAACAAATTGTCATAGAGGTGGCCCCGACTGAGAAGGAGAAAGACCTCGCACACCAGAGTCTGGGGCCCAAGTGAGTAGATTTTGTATGTCCCAGTCCCACGGGCTCCCCATTGCTGGTGGGGGGAGCTCTGAGGCTCAGGGGCCGGACCCAGGCATGCCGGGGGCCGCATTCGGCCTGTTCCCCACCCCTGGGGGTCTGGGCAAACACGCTCCAAACCACAGATGTTTTTCCTCTGGGGTAGCTTTATTCTTACAGGGAAAAGTTTTACACCGAGTGCACCCAAAGTCAATGCCACCAGAAGGCCCTGTTCCCTGGGGCCCATGCCTGGTTCACATGGCCACAAAGAAATGCACGCAGCTAGAATCTCGCAGGAATGGCAGGAAGGGCTGGCGTGGTGCCTGGGTGTGCCCGTTGGCAGAACCAACCCGCGAGGGCTTCCCGGAGCCAGCAGGGTTGGGGTGGGGCAGAAGAAGCCTGAGACAGGATTATAGTCCCTGTGGGGTACACGCTACATCTCGCAGGCTGGAAGGAGGAAGAATATTAGGCCTCTCTAGACCGCAGGGCTGCAGGGCGGGGACCCCTTTGTATAGCTCCCACTCCTTGTGGACTCCACCGGGCAGGTGGCTCGGGGTCGTGGGAGTCGCCCTGTGCTTGCCGCGTGTCTGCTCCTCGGTCAGCAGCAGCGTTAGGCTGAGCACCGGGCACCGAACAGCGCCCCCTCCCCTGCCCGCTCACACTCGCCGCTTCAGCCGGAGGGAGTTGTCCAGGGAGACCAGCTGGTGCAGGAAGCCCCGGTTGGGGATGATGCCTCGGTGGTCCTTGACGGTCTTGATGGCTTCCACCAGGGTCATGCGTTGGCGGATCATGAGGTAGGCGAGGACCAAGGTGGCCGAGCGGCTCACCCCGACGGCGCAGTGGACGAGGATCTTCCCTGTGGGGAGAAGGGGAGCGGTGTCACGGAACAGCTGCAACCCCTAGGCCCCACTGCTCTGGGTCAGGGATGTCTAGGAGGATCTTCCCTGTGGGGAGAAGGGGAGCTGTGTCACGGAGCAGCTGCAACCCCTAGGCCTCACTGCTCTGGGTCAGGGATGTCTAGGGAATAGCCCTTTAACAGTGTGGGGGAGATGGTTACGCCAGTGTAGGCGTTAGGCCGGAGAGGGGCATCCAGGGCTAGTGAGTGGGCCTCACGAGGGGCCCTACTGCAGCCCACGGTTCACACACCCCATCTCCGCCCCCTTTCCCAAACCTCCGAGGGAAGGGGTCGGGCACTGAATTAGGTTATAGCTGGGGCAGATGATCAGACAACGGCAGAGGAGCAGGGTTCCCTTGGGAAAAAACGTGACGCGTCATTGAAAAATCAAAAGCCGAAGGATTTCAGTTCCGAAATGCTGCCGGAGGCGGTAATTCGGAACGTTCGTGCCCTCGTTTTCCACTCTGGTTGGGTGGACCGGTCAGGTGACCTCTGCCATGCTGTACCACAGCCCTTTTCTAGGGAGGGGAAGGGATGCATCATGGGAGTCCCTCTGCCACAATGCATCTTGGGAGGTGGTGTCTGGCTAGGGAGCCTGGTGCCAAAGAGAACGGGGCTACGAGGCCACGGAACTACAACTCCCAGGAGGCTCTGCAGCCGTATGTCCAAATCCAGGTGTTCGCGGGTGGGGCTAAATATTTCAGGGTTTGGCTGAAAATCAAAAACTTTGTGTGTGTGTGTGTGTGTGAAAAATCCACGGAAATCTTGTGTCAGAGGCAACCCTGGGGGTGGGACATGTGGGGCCAATTTTCTCCATCTGATTTTCTGACGGGCTTGCACTGCGCCTGCTTAGTCACACCGCTGAAGTCGGCTGCCCGCCCTCGGTGCCCCTGCTGCTGGCAGGCCTGGGCTGTCTCCACTTCTCGTGAAAAACGTTTAGTCAAAAGCCCCCCAATCTTCCTTTGAAGCGCAGTTCTGAGAGCTACGTTCCCAACCAGCCTACTCCATGGTCCCCAGGAGCCGGCTTCCGGGCCGTGTCTCCTGACTGTGAGAGGCCGAAGATGCTTGTGCCTGCTTTGCACCCCGGGAATCCAGGGCTGGGGACTCCAGATCCACCCCCACCCTGGCATTGGGTTGCCAGATGGTTTAATAAAAAATACCGAACTCCCTCCCCTTCCCTCCCCCCCAAAAAAAACAGGAAAAAAATTTGTTGGGGGGAGCCGGCTTCCGGGCCGTGTCTCCTGACTGTGAGAGGCCGAAGATGCTTGTGCCTGCTTTGCACCCCGGGAATCCAGGGCTGGGGACTCCAGATCCACCCCCACCCTGGCATTGGGTTGCCAGATGGTTTAATAAAAAATACCGAACTCCCTCCCCTTCCCTCCCCCCCAAAAAAAACAGGAAAAAAATTTGTTGGGGGGGGGAGGGGAAAGGACTGACCAGGCCTCCCTCTATCCCAGCATGTCCCAAGCTGCCTTCCGTCGGGCGCTCGAGCCGGGCCTCAGGAAAAACAGAAAATACCGGATATTTTAGGTGTCCGGTATTTTCTTAATTTTTTTTACCGGACGGAAGGCACAAATACCAGGCTCCCCAGTTCAATACCGGACTCCTGGCAACCCTAAATTGCCAGCAGCTGCATCCACCCCCTGCACCATAGGAATTCCCTGTGTCATGAGACGAAGGGATCCCCCTCAGATCTGGGACGTGCCACCAGGAGGGCATGAACAGGCCAGCCCATGGCCCAGAACTGGGGCTCAGGTCTCCTCCCGATGGAGGGGGGGAGGGGTCTGGTCTGGTGAGGCAGAGGAGGCCAGATCCGGAGCTCAAAGGAGCATCGCACTGTTCCAGCGTGGTGTCGCTGGTGCCCGCTTCGCAGACCCAGGAGGAAGTGGCTGGATTCGGGAAGTTTCTATGAGCCATGCGCTCCTCACCTGGGGAAGGGCTGTGGAGGCGGGAGAGAGGATCCCCAGGTCTTGCTCAGCACAGAACCCCGGGTGGCGCATTGATAAGGGAAGAAGGTCATTAGAGACGAGGGGTCTCTCCTCTTTCCCGGCCAAGCTCCTGGTCCCAGCCCCTCCTCCAACCCTTCCCCTTCCCCATACCTCCTCTCTCTCTCAGCGCCTGGTGGATGAAGTCGGCGGCGGGGTGGAAGTAGGGGCTCATGTCGAAGCTGGGCGAGTCGTGGGCCTCGATGCCTAGGTAGCGGATGCCGGTGCCCTCATAAAACTCGGCGCCTCCTCGCCACTTGCTGTGCGAGGCGTTGAGGACGTGGGTGATGCGCAGGTGGGCCAGCTCCCGCCGATTGGCTGCTATATCTCTGCAGAGAGGGGTGCGGAGGGTTACAACGGAGCCCATGGGGGGACTTGATGTGGAGGCAACGGATGGGCCAGGCTGGCGTGGATTTATAGGAGGGAGCAGATCTGATGAAGGGGGGGAGGGGAGAGAAAGAGGGGGAGCCATTTTGTGGGGACACCCAAAAATGAAAATATAAGAACGTCTGTCGCTCCTTACCCAGTAACACACATCTCTCTCTGGGTATGTCTACACTACCACCCTAGTTCGAACTAGGGTGGTTAATGTAGGCAACCGGAGTTGCAAATGAAGCTTGGGATTTGAATTTGTGTGATTTGGTGTGTAGAGGGTGAATAAAGAAAAGTTATTTATTAGTTCCCTAAATAGAAGAACTAGAGGACACCAAATGAAATTAATGGGTAGCAGGTTTAAAACGAATAAAAGAACGTTCTTCTTCACACAGCACATAGTCAACCTGTGGAACTCCTTGCCAGAGGAGGCTGTGAAGGCTAGGACTATAATAGAGTTTAAAGAGAAGCTAGATAATTTCATGGAGGTTAGGTCTATAAAAGGCTGTTAGCCAGGGGATAAAATGGTGTCCTTGGCCTCTGTTTGTCAGAGGCTGGAGAGGGATGGCAGGAGACAAATCGCTTGATCATTGTCTTCGGTCCACCCTCTCTGGGGCACTTGGCACTGGCCCCTGTCGGCAGACAGGATACTGGGCTAGATGGATGTTTGGTCTGACCCAATACGGCCGTTCTTATGTTCTTATATATGGGATATTCTGACCAATCATTCTTTTATCCACTACAATTGGCGAGTAACATGGTAACAGCATCCTGACGAGTTAATAGTTTAGCTCGGCTAATAATTAAATCTCGCCGCGTTTTACTATCATGTGCTGCAGAGAGCTGTGGGAGAGACATTAAGAAACCCCTCACAGCTTCTCTGTTTGAGAATCAAACGCTTCATCACCCTTGCTCCCAACTGGGGTGCTTGCTGTGTTAGGTGTGTGTGTGGTCGGTCTGGTCAAGGGGACACACACACACACACACACACACACACACACACACACAATGCTACTGAGTCTCTGCCCCTCTTCCTCCCCACCCCCCCTTTT